GAGTGGTGTGCGAATGCGAACAGATTGTCGGTATGGCCATGACGGTGTCTGCGCAAAGGCTTCCAGTTAAGGCATGCGGCTGCCACTGGCGCAGAATCGCCCTGCGGAAAGGCTTCCAGGTAAGGCGTGACGTTCACCTCGGCACGCACCTCGCATGGCGGGAGGAGGGGCGCGAGGGGGCGGGAGTGGCACCCCCTCGCAACGGTGCACCTAAGAGGTACGAGCTCAGCGATCTCGAAGAGGCCTGGCGCCCCACAGTTTTGCATTGGAGAATGCGTAGAGGCATCGCATGATGTATTTCCCTACCTAGGCTCTGCCTAGAAAGGTTCTTACCCTGTTAGCTTAAAGGGGCCGGGCAGTGGAACACGCCCCGGGCGGTTCCCCCATGATCCGCCCCGCGGTTCCCCCAGTGACGCTCCCTTAGCTTAGCGTTGCTTATCTCATCTTAGCTTAGCTTATTTCATCTTAACTTTTTAGCGTCATCTTAGTTCAGGATTATCTTAGCTTAGCTTACCTTCATCTTAGCTTCGCCGAGCTTTAGCATAGCAGAGCACAGCATAGCATAGCAGAGCGTAGCACAGCACAGCGCAGCACAGCATATCATATCAAAGCCCAGCATAGCACAGCACAGCGCAGCATAGCATAGCATAGCATCGCATAACAGATCATAGCATATCGCAGCACAACACAGCACAGCATAGCACCGCGCAGCATATCATATCATAGCATAGCATAGCATCGCATAGCATAGCACAACAACGCATATCATAGCATAGCGCAGCCTAGCATATCACATCATAGCATAGCATAGTTTAGCATAACACAGCGCATCATGCCATATCATAGCTTAGCATAGCTTAGTACATCATAGCATATCATAACGCATCACAACATAGCATAGCATAGCACAGCGTAGCGTAGCATAGCATAGCGCAGTATAGCATGGCATAGCATCGCGTAGCATAGCATAGCAACGAATGCTGCTTTCCTAAGGGCTCCAACTTCTAGGTAGGGTCGCACTGGGGTAATTGCATAGATTGTGCAAAGGCTTCCATTCGAGGCACGCGGCTGCCCTGTCGCAGAATCCCTTGCGACCGCAGACGGTCAACGACTACGCGGGCGCGATAGCCATGCAGGTGCAGGCGAAGCGAGTTCAGTTACGGCATATGGCTGCCTCAGGCGAAGACTGCCGCGCGGGTGCGGAAACCCAGCGGCTTGGGGTGTCGCCGTTGGGCGCCACGTTCGCCGCGGCGCGCACTTCGCATGGCAGGAGGAGGAGCGCAAGGGGGTGGGAGTGGCACCCCCTCGCAACGACTGGGGGCGCCTGGGAGCGTGCCGGGAGCGCCTGTGGGCGCCTGGGAGCGCCTGGGAGCGCCGGGAAGCGCCTGGGAGCGCCTGGGAGCGCCTGTGGGCGCCTGGGGGCGCCTGGGAGCGCGCATGGGAGCGCCTAAGAGCGTGCTGGGAGCGTGCCGGGAGCGTGCTGGGAGCGTGCCGGGAGCGCCTGGGCGCAGGAGCGCTCGGAGGCGCCTGGCAGCGCCTGGGAGCGCGCCAGGAGCGCCTGGGAGCGTAGCCGAGCGGCTTTGGGTGTCGCCACGTTCGCCGCGGCGCGCACTTCGCATGGCAGGAAGGAGGAGCGCGAACCCCCTCGCAACGACTGGGAGCGCCTCGGAGCGTGCCGGGAGCGCCTGTGGGCGCCTGGGAGCGCCTGGGAGCGCCTGGAAGCGCCTGGGAGCGCCTGGGAGCGCCTGTGGGCGCCTGGGAGCGCCTGTGGGCGCCTGGGAGCGCCTGGGAGCGCGCATGGGAGCGCCTGGGAGCGTGCTGGGAGCGTGCCGGGAGCACCTGGGAGCGTGCCCGGAGCGCTTGGGAGCGCCTGGCAACGCCTGGGAGCGCCTGGGGGCGCCTGGGAGCGTGCTGGCGTGCCGGGAGCGCCTGGGAGCGCGCCGGGAGCGCCAGGGAACGCCTGGGAGCGCCTGGAGCGCCTGGGAGCGCCTGGGAGCGTGCTGGGAGCGCCAGGGAGCGCCTGGGAGCTTGCTGGGAGCGTGCTGGGAGCGTGCCGGGAGCGCCTGGGAGCGCCTGGGAGCGCCTGGGAGCGCCTGGGAGCGTCTGGGAGCCTGGGAACGCCTGGGAACGCCTGGGAGCGCCTGGGAGCGCCTGGGAGCGCCCGGGAGCACTTCGGAAGGCTGGGACGTGCGCCAGGTGCTCCCAGAGGCAGCCGAAAAGGCGCCGCATGCTATAATTTCACAGGTTTGGAGCACCCAGGGAGCGCCGCATGCTATATTTTTACAAGTAAGGGAAGCATCGGCCCAACGGGGGGCCATTAGTTACGGCTGAGGGTGAAGGGTTCCTTGTCTTAGGAGAACACAGCGGGGATGCACCGCGCGGCGTGCGAATTCCTCCTCAGCGGCTCTCGCCGCTTCGTCGGTGCGGCGTACGCTGTATGGGCAGGCTAGCTGAGCGCTACGCCACGGGCTACAGACGTTGCACCGCCCGCGGCTTGCTCCTCCTCCTCCTCCTCCTCCTCCTCCTCCCCCTCCTCCTCCTCCTCCTCCTCCTCCTCCTCCGCCTCCTCCTCCTCCAACCCTCCTCCTCATCCTCATCCTCCCCTCCTCCTCCGCCTCCTCCACCCTCCTCTCTGCCTCCTCCATCCCCATCCCTCTTCCTCCTCCTCCTCCTCCCCCGCCTCCTCCTCCTCCTCATCCTTCTTTAAAGGGTTTAGGGTTTAGGGTTTAGGGTCCACTAGCCCAAACTCGCAGCCTGTTGGACGTGCCCCACCCACCCATGACCCAAGACATATTGATCTCAAAACGACGACGATGTTGTCTCCACACCGTGTCGCTGGCGCTGGGCCGAGCCCTCCACCGCGTCACGGCGGAATCGCAGCGACGCGTTGAGACCCGGCTTGCGCCGCTCACCACCGCCGCCCACCGCGGCGCCCCCAGAAAAAACGAGGCGCAGCTGCGCCTTCCTCCGGGGGCTTCTCGGCGAGAGGCTCCCGAGGGAGGGGGGCTTCTGGGCGGCCGCGGTCGTCCTGCCGCGCTGGCTCCGTGGCGCTTGAGCGCGCCGCGGAGTGTCAGCGCGACGGGGCGGCCATAGCCGCTCGGAAACCCAGGGGGCCATGTCCAGCCTCCACGGGGCGGCCCCTGGGGAAGGGCACGGGGGCGGCGCTCAACCCGAAAGGGTCGAGGTCGCGCCCGTACCTTTCGCAAAGGACTAACGACGCCATGTCTGGCATTCCGATGCCAGCATCTCCTCCCAGAACGCCATTCCTGGCACTCCGAGGCCAAGAATCTGCATGAGGGGTGCGCCGAAATGGGGGGCGGCATAAGGGGCGCGGAAGGGCGTCCGTGAGAGCTTCAGGATTTGGATATTTATAGGCTCTTAGTTCTTAGGGTGGAAATTGAGCAACGAACAGAGGAAAGGAAGGTCGTAGTTATGGGGTTTCTCTTGGGGGTACACGGGGGAGCCCCGGATGAGATTGCTGCCCCAGTCCCGAGGTCACGGCGGGTCCTGGTGGGAGGGTCCCCCCATTGGACAGGGGGAACTCAAGGCCCCTCTCCTCGGCCCCCCCCCCTCTCCCTCCAGTCCCCTGTGGAAAAGGGGGGGAAAGGAGTGACCTCCCCCTGTGGACAGGGGGAACTCAATGCCGCCCCTCCCCCTCCCCGGCACCCGTGGAAAGGGGAGGAGCCCCACTGTTGGAGGCGGTCCTGGGAGGGGAGTTCCGGGCAAGATTTCTGCCCCTCCCTCCCCGGATCCTGCCTGTGGACAAGGATGCCCGCACCCCTCCGCTCCCCAGTCCCCCCTGGACAAAGGGGGAAAGGGAGAGGGGGTCCTGTGGACATGGGGGCCAGAAGACCCCTCCATATCCCCTCCTCCTCCCAATCCCATTTGTGCACACGAGAGACAGGGTGGTCCCCTTGTGGACAGGGGGGGCTCAAGACTCCCCCCCACGCCTCACCCCCTTCCTTGGGGAGGTCCCGCCTGTGGCGGGCCCTCGGGGGAGCGCCAGCGGGGGTCCCGGGAGGAGGTCCCACATTCAGGGTCGGCGGCACCGGTTGTAAGCCTTCACGACAACTTTTCCCTGCCGCACCCCGAAACGTGACAGTAGGGCGGGCCAGGCGCTTCGTTTTAGACGTCCCCACCATCTCAGGGAGCGAAACTGAGAAATTGCCACAGCTTCACGGATGGAGCGCGGGTCTTTTTCAAAATGTGGCTCTCGCCTGAGCGACGCGCACATTCGTGTTAACAGTGTGCAAAACAGTTTCAAGGATGGAGAGCAGCTTCTTTCCAACATGTGGTTCTCACATTCGTCTTGAAAGTGCGCAAGGATTTTCAAGGATGGAGGGCGCTCTTTTTCAATATGTGGCTCTCGCCTGAGCGCCACGCACATTCGTACTAATAAGTTGCTACAGCTTCACGGATGGAGCGCGACTCCTTTCAGCAATGTGGCTCTCGCCTGTGCGCCGCGCACATTCGTCTTAAACTATTGCAACACAGCTTCAAGGATTTAGGGCGGCTCCTTTTCAAAATGTAGCTATCGCCTGAGCGCCGCGCACATTCGTGTCAAAGAATGTATAGCGATTTCGATGATTCTTATAGGTGGCGTACCTGGAATGCTTTTTTGGCGCGATGTAGGACGGTCAAGGCGCAACCGTCACGTTGATTCGCGGTGCTGAAGTCCCAGGGATGACGTTCTGGTGTGATTCAGGATCGTGAGCGCACAACAGAAATTCGATTCGCGGCATTGAAGTCCCATGCGTGGTGTTTTGGCCCGGTTCAGGGTTTTCAAACGATTGCCTTCCAACGGGGCACCAACATCGCTGCTGTATCTTAGGTGTACGCTGGTCCTCCTCCTCCTCCTCCTCCTCCTTCTCCTCCTCCTCCTCCTTCGCCTTCACCCCCTGCTCAATCCCTCATCATGGGAGAAAGATGAACTAGAAGCAGGAGGAGGATGAGGACGACGGCGGCGGCGAGGACGACGACGGCGCAGTGAAAGCGGGGTCCTTTGATGAGCCACGTGGCTCGCCGATGCCACGAGCAGCCCGCGTCTTGCACCCGCGCGCACGTCATCTGCAGGCTCTGGTCTTCGACGCTGTAGGCCGCTTTAAGGCTCGAGGACCGAGGATCGAGGTTTCGGACGTGGAAGATCGCGGGTGGAGGATCGAGGTTTTCGGAAGTAGAGGTTCGACGATTGATGATCGAGGCTTCAGGATGTGCTTGACCCACTCTATGGCCCGTAGGCACCTCCGGGGACCTTGGGGGCCCCAAGGTATGGAGGATGCGGGGGCTCTGGGTATCAGGCCCGATGTACGGGGCCCGAAAAGGAGGAGGGAGGAGGAGGGAAGGGGCAGGAGGGAGAAGCAGGAGGAGGAAGAGGAATGAGGATTAGGTTAGGACAGGCACAGAAGAGGAATGGTGATGGAGAAAGGATGAAGGAGGGAGGAGGGAGGAAGGAGCAAGGAGGAAAAAGGAAAAGCAAGAAACAGAGGCGCCAGAGCGCGAGCCACAGCTGGAGCACGGGCACGAGCACAGAGAGGAGTAGGGAAAGTGCGAGTGGCGCTGGAGCAAGAGCGTGGGCCCCAAACCTCCCGCTCCAGCCATCTTTCGACGCCCTCCACCTCCTCATCCCCTCTATCCCCCCCCCTCCCCTACTCCTTCCACCCTCCTCCTCCTCCTCCTCCTCCGCCGCCGCCGCCTCCGCCGCCTCCTCCGCCTCCTCCGCCTCCTCCGCCTCCTCCGCCTGCTCCTCCTGCTCCTCCTGCTCCTCCTCCTCCTCCTCCTCCTCCTCCTCTTCCTCCTCCTCCTCCTTCTCCGCCTCCTCCGTCTCCCCCTCCTTCCTTACACCTCCCCTCTCCTCCTCCTCCTCCTCCTCCCCTCTCATCTTTCCCCCTCTCTCCTCCTCCTCCTCCTCCTCTTCTCCGCCTCCTCCTCCTCCACCTCCTCCTCACTCCTCCTCCTCTCCTCCTCCCCTCCCCTCCCTCACTCCCCCTCCCCTCCCCTCCCCTCCCCCTCTCCTTCCTCCTCATCTCCTCCTCCCTCTCCTCCTCTCCTCCTCCTCCTCCTCCTCCTCTCTCTCCTCCTCCTCTTCCTCCTCTCCCCTCCCCCTCCTCCTTCCTCTCCTCCTCCTCTCTCTCATCTTCCCTCCTCCTCTCCTCCTCTGCTCCGTCCGTCCTCCTCCTCTCCTTCCTCCTCGCACCCTCCTCCTCCCATTCTCCTCCTGCTTTCTGCCTCCTGCTCCTCTCCTCCTCCTCTCCCTCTCTCCTCCTCCTCCTCCTCCTCCTTCCTCTCTCCTCCTATCATCCTCCCCTCCTCCTCCCCTCTCCTCTCCTCCCCTCCTCTTCTCCTCCTCTCCTCCTCCTGACTCCTCTCTCCTCTCGTCTTCTCCTTCTCCCACTACTCCTTCCCCTCCCCTCCTCCTCTCCTCCTCCTCCTCCTCTCCTCCTCTCCTCCCTCATCCTTCTCCTCCCTCCCATCATTCCTTCCTCCTCCTCCTCTCCTCCTCATCCTCTCCTCTTCTTCCTCCTCCTCCTGCTCTCTGCTACTCCTCTCTCCGACTCTTCTCCCCCTCTCTCTTCTCCTCTTCTCCTCCTCCTCCCCCTCCTGTCCTCCGCTCCTACTGTTCCTCCTCTCCTCCTCCTCCCCTTTTTTTCCCTCCCCACCACCCCCTTCCATCCTCCTCCTCCTCTCTCTCCTCCTCCTCAGCCTCCTCCTCCTCCACTTTCTCTTCCTCCTCCTCCTCCTCCTCCTCCTTATCCTCCTCCTCCTCCTCCTCGTTCTCCTCGTCCTCCTTCTCTTCCTCATCATCTTCATCTTTCCTCTCCTCTTCATTTTCCCACCCGCATCTTCCCATCCGCCTCATCTTCACCCTCCTTTTTCTTTTCCCTCATGTCCAAGCCCCTTCTCCAAAACTCATACCTCCCTTCGCCCCGTTCACCCCAACGTCCCCCTGCCAAACGTCCTCACTCATTCCAAACTCCTCTGGGGGGGTGGGGGGCAACAAGCACCGATACTGCTATTTCCCTGTACTCCCCGGACCTCTCCCGGGGTGCGCTCTGACCAACATGTCCAGGAGGATCTGGGCGCGGCGACGAGGGCCTCCCAGGAGGGGGCCAGAGGCAAGACGAAGGGAGATCGGTGTTGCTACCCTGAGATCCAACGTCGCGAAAAACATGCAACATTGTTAAAATCACGCCCAGAGCCCTAGACCACAACTTTCTGCGTCATTGTTCGAGTCGGATCGATATGTGAGGTCCCCGGGGCCCGAAACCGGGCGAAAACGTCCGTTGTAAAAATTGCAACGCCAGGATATCAGGATACCTCTTCCTCCGCCTCCCAGCACACCCCGCCGAGGGATGGGCACGCCGAAGCTCCCCCAACGGGGTCCTGAAGGAAACCGCCGACGAGCAGCTGCGGAGCGCGGACACGGGGACCCTGAGCTGCACCACGCTCCATACCTCCGCCAGCTGCGCGCAGCGAGAGGAGGAGGAGGAGGAGGAGGAGGAGGAGGAGGAGGAGGAGGAGGAGGAGGCTGAGGAGGAGGAGGAGGAGGAGAGGAGGAGGAAAACCAGTGTAAACCCAAGAGTCATCAAAGATGTTGGAATCAACCCTCCCTCGAAGCTCCCTCTTCACAGGCCCCTACAACGGTTCATTTCCATTGGGGGAACTGCCTCGTTGGAAAACAACCATTTGAAGACCCTGAAGCATGTCCAGACATTGTTCTCTGGATTCCAACGCCACGGATCAACCTGACTGTTGCGTGTTGACGATCCTGAATCGTGCCAGAACGCCCTTCTTGGCACTTCAACACAGCGAATCAACGTAACTGTTGCGCCTGCATAATCCCAAATCTTCTGGTACGCTGATGATGGGAGTCCATGGAACTCTATGTTTCAAAACGAATGCACGCCGCGCTTAGGCGAGAGCCACAGTTTGAAAACGACCCGCCCTCAATCCGTGAAGCTCAAGCAATGTTCAAAACACATGTGCGCCGCGCCTATGTGAGAGCCACATTTTGAAAACGGCCCGCCTTCAATCCGTGAAACTCTTGCAATGTTCAAAACGAATGTGCGCCGCGCTAGAGCGAGAGCCACACTTTGAAAAAGACCCGCCCTCAATCCGTGCAGCTTTTGCAAATGTTTAAACGAATGTGCGCCGCGCTAGTGCGAGAGCCACATTTTGAAAACAACCAGCCCTCAATCCGTGAACCTCTTACAAATGCTTAGAACGAATGCGCGCCGCGCTGAGGCGAAAACCGCGTTTTGAAAACCACCCGCCCTCCACCTGCAAAACTGCCAAGTTCGATGCTTCAGAATCATGACTGGTGAAGAAGTCTCAAGCGAAACGCCCGACCCGCCTTAAAAAACTGGCCTCGGGGTGCGACAGGGAGAAGCTATTCATAAGGGAAAGGAATTGACCAGGGTATCGGGGGAGGAGGATGAGGAGTGGGAGGAGGAGGAGGAGGAGGACAAGGACGTGGAGGAGAAGCAGCAGCAGGAGGACGAGGAAGACGAGGAGGAGGAGGAGGAGGAGGAGGAGGAGGAGGAGGAGGAGGATGTCGAGTCAACCTTGAGAGAGAGAGAGAGAGAGAGAGTGGAGGAGGACGAGGAGGAGGAGGAGGAGGACGAGAAGGAGGAGGACAAGGACGAGGAGGAGAAGCAGCAGTAGGAGGACGAGGAAGATGAGGAGGAGGAGGAGGAGGCGGAGTTGGCGGAGTTGGAGGCGGAGGAGGCGAAGGAAGACGCGGAGAGGAGAAGGAGGAGGAGGAGGAGGACGACAAGGAGGAGGAGCAGGAGGAGGAGGAGGTGGCGGAGGATGGGGAGGAGGAGGAGCAGGAGGAGGAGGAGCAGGAGGAGGAGGAGGAGGGGGAGGAGGAGGAACAAGAAGAGGAGGAGGGGGAAGGGAAGGAGGGGGAGGAAGGGGAGGAAGGAGGGGGGAGGACCAGAGTAAATCCAAGACGCAGCAACGACGTTGCAGTAAATCATCATCTAAGCTCTCTCTCTCTCTCTCTCTCTCCTGAGGTCCCTACAAGAATGTGTGCGGTCATTGAAGGAAATGCTCCATTAAAAGCCGCTCGGATATTTCAAACAATAAGGATGTCGCCCCCAGAAACTCCAACAAAGAAATGCCTCGCCAGGACCAGAAGAAAATCAGAAAACACGCGCTTTACATGTTCTAAGCTTGAAAGGAATCGGGCACCCCACGGTGCCCTAAATTGTTTGGGAATCCTGAATCGCGCCTAAACACAGTTCTGTAACTTCAACACCGCGAATCACTGTTACTGCTGCGTCCTGGCGAACCTGAGCCACAGCAGATCCTAGCCTGCTCGCGGGGAGCAATTGGGACTTCAACACCGTGGGTCCACGTGATTGTCGCGTCCTTAAAACCCTGAACCGTGCCAGAATATCATTCCTGGGACCTCAACGCTACGAATCCGTTAAACTGTTGCGAACTGCAAAGACGAACGCGCGCGGCGCCAAAACCAGCATCGCTTTTCGAAAATAACCGGCATCCATCCTTGAAGCTGTTGACACACCTGGCGCTGAGGCGAGAGCTCCATTACGAAAACGGCCCACCCCCCATCCCTGAAGCTAATGCAAGCTTTGAAAACGAACGCGCGCTGCGCTAAAGAGCTCAATTTTGAAAACGGCCCGCCCTCCGTCCTTGAAGCTGCGGCGATCGTTGAAGACGAATGCGCGCAGCGCTAAGGCGATAGCTGCAGCTTGAAAACGGCCCGCCCTCCATCTTCAAAACTGCTGCAAACTTCATGCTGCAGGATCGTAAGCGGTGGGGAAGTCTCCAGTGAAACGCCCGTCATGGCCCACGGACACGTCTGGGGGTGCAACAGGGATGAGCTATTTATAAAGACGAGGGATGGAAGGAGGAGGAGAAGCACCGTCCAAAGGAACAGAAGGGCGGAAAAGAGCAAAAACGATCAGAAAACGAATGAATCATGTGGTCAACCCGCGGCAATGGCAGGCGGCAGCTCAGCAGGGGTGGGCGCGCCTCGGAGTTCCGTCGCACGAGCTAATCATCATGCAGCCATGCGAAGTCGCGCAGTCAGTAGGCCACGCGTCCGCGCAGGTCAGGGGGGAAGAGGCGAGACCCGAAGGGAGTGGAAAGTGGTGTGGATGGCGTCGAAAGCGAGAACGCAAGAGATGAGAGCTTCTCTACCAGAAGGGAAGAGGTGGGGGAGGAAGGCAGGGAAGGGCTCAGAACAGTGTTCAGCAGGCGCTACACAAACATGCCGAGTGGGATATTCATTGAGCACTGGGGTACATACATAGAGTATAATATCGTCGCCACCCACAACGCAGTATCCTGTCCGACATACGCCAAAGCCAGATCTGTCATACTCGTGCCCCCCACGTTAAGCATGTATTTCAAGTCAACGGCTGGCGAAATAGTTCAGGAGATGTCAGTTGATGAGGTTCAGTCTCAGGACGATGCGGTCACAAAGCTGTGGGGGCAGCTGGGACCTGTCATATCTTTCTCTATATATACATTGTTGGCACTAGGTAAGATGATGCCCGAGCTGAGGGGCGAGGGTTAGTGGCCAAGCGTTCTTCGGTGATACAACTCTGGACAGTCTTCGGTCCAATCGACGGGCAGCTGCGAGCACGGTAGAACCTATGGTAAATCTCTGGCGTAATAAGTATGATAGGGTGTTGTGCCATGCCCTCATACCTCCACAGACTACAGGTATTGTCCGCTCCATCCTCCTCCTCATGCGTCTACCTGTAATAATACAAGAAAGCAGTGCGCCCCATAGCGGCTTTGAGTAAACGGGCACGTGCTTAGACCTGAAGACGGCGGGCTCGAAAAAAGGGACGGAGGGGGGGAGGAGGAGGAAGTTGGAGCGTCTGGGGGGGCCGCGTGTCTATCCCGCCTGTCGCCTCTGCGGGCGTGGCCTCTTGCGGCGCTGACCACCGAGGGGCATTTCAACTGCTTGGAGTGCAGCGCGAGCGAGCGAGCGAGCGTCATTATCCTTAAACGGCTGAACACTGGTTTTGCTCTCGCGGTGAGCCAACCTATAAAGATGAAAATAACAGACAGTGAATTTGAACGCCACGGGGGAGGGGTGGATCGGGCCCAGAGCTAGGAGGGGGTCCAAAAACGGGGGCGCTGGGAGGTCAGCATTTAATTGACCACGGACGAGCATATACATTGGGTCGCACCAGCAAAAGTAATGCTTCAGCGAGTGTCGAGCCCCAGGACATCCCCAGACGCACCGCCTGTACGGGTTGCGCATCCTAGACTCGGTGATCCAACCCCCTCCCCAGGTCTCAATGCAAGCATTGCGCCAGGACGGCGGGATGCGATGCATCACCGAGGCAACGGCCGACCAGTCGATCGCCGCAGCGTCGACAGCGTGGACCCCAAACCAGCGCTGGAGACGCTCTTGCAGGCGGAGGTGGAGGCGCGGGAGACGAGAGGCGGAGCGAAGGTACGAACCAAGGAGGGAGGAGTAAAGGAGGAGCTGCGGCCGCACACGCCGCAGGAGAGCATGGCGCTCGTCTCCTGCAGCTGGGCTGGCGCGCCTGCGGTGGGCCTCGCGGGAGGCGGCCGCCAGAAGGGCGCGCGCAGCCGCCGCGCGGGGGCTCGTGCCGCGGCGCGATGCCGCTCTCTCCAGCGTCACAGCAATTGCCTCAGAACGCCACCAGCTGGGCCACGGGCAGCCACGGACCGTCCGCGCCAATGGCAGGTGCCGCAGCGCAGCCCCGCGGAGCTGCCGCGAGGCCGCGCGCCAGGAGTCCAGCGTGACCACCGCCGCCCTCACGCAGGCTGCCTCGCACATGGTCGCGGCGGAGGGGATCTGCGGGCCGCCGACGGTGTCGAGCTCATGCCATTCCCCGTCTCCCAGGAAGCTGCCTGGCAGGCGCAGCAGGTGCGCCAGCCTCCCTCGTTCGAGCTTCTTCAGGGAGGCGGGGGCCTCCATCATCTGCGCCTTGCACGACAGGACGGGCACGCAGCGCTCATTGCACAGGAGGATGGCAGCATGCACGTCCGAGCGGCTCCTGGAGATCTCTCCGACGCGCTCGGAGTACTTCTTCATCGGCGCACGCCATTGTGCCTCCTGCGTGGCCCCTGGTCCCAGCAGCACGCCCGGGTACTCGAGGTGGCCCACGATTGGGAACGCCTCCCAGTCCTTGTCCGCGGCCATCAGGGAATCCCGCGCCCGCTCCTGCGCGCCAGCACGCTGCGAGTCACCCAGCGGGATGGCGCGGCACTTCGCAGGCTTGATCAACAGGCCCGCCAGGAGCTTCGCGCCGCGGAAGACGCGGGCCAGCGTGAACAGCCCGCGCTGGGTCATCACCGCCGCGCCCAGGTCGCCGGCGCACCATCTCGAGATGCCCCGACGCTTGGAGCCCAGGTTGGCCTTCAGGTCCTGCCCGAACGGGTGGGCGGCGAGGACGAACAGAGCGCCACTGGCGGGGTCGCCCTGGAGGATGCCCGAGCGCACCGAGTAGAGCGCAGCCCTCGTGCGCGAAGCCGCGGGGGAGACGACCCCGTCGCAGTTGACCTTCAGCGCGTCCTGAAGTCCCTGGGGGGCGGCCATGGCGCGGAGCGCGCCGAAGAGTCAGTCCTGCGCGATGATCGGGAAGGCCTGGCCCCAGTCGAAGGAGATGAGGAAGGGAGAGCCACCGTGCCCCGCAGCCATGGAGAGCACGCGGGAGCGTGCGTCGAGCTCGATTATGTTGTTGCAGAAGTTGCGCCCGCAAATGAAGCCTCCCTGCGTGTCCACGCAGTGCCACCCCGCCACCTTCTTCGTGCATGAAGTGAGGGCCCACATGACTGCCTTCTTGGAAGTGTTCTCAAGCGCCAGAGGGCGGGTCTCACCAGCGCGCCTGAGGACTTCTTGAGGGTCATCATCGCGCGTTCCCTTGGCGGGGAAGACGGCGATGGAGAGGTTCCACTCCTGGCGCATGGGCGGGCCCTCCAGCTGCCACGTCATAGCTTCCGCCAGCGTCTCGACCCCCAGCGGCGTGGCAAGCCAGGCCTTGGCGCCGAGACCGTCTGGGCCAGGTGCTGACTTGCGGGCCCTGCGAAGCGCCATGGCCACGGTGCGTGCCGAGGGGGGCACGATTGAATCCCAGTCAGCACCATGGATGCCGTAGCGTCGGAGATATCCACCCTGGAGCCCCCGACGACGCAGAACAGCACGAGAAGCATCACGCGGGAGGGGGGCCATGATGCCGTCCTGGAAGGACATGGGGGTGACGCTAGAGTTGGAGGCAAGGTTGCGCATCATTTCCTCGGCTGACTGCTTCTGTTTCGCCACGTCGTCGCCGAATTCGCCCCACCAGTCGCCCGCTAGCGCCCTCTGAATATCCTGCTCCGTTCTCGCAACCGTGCCGTCATCCAGCTCGATGCCCCCGAGGAAGCGACGTGCCGACGTAGGGGCCCAGAGGGCCGCACGCCGTCGCAAGGCCCTTTGCTGCCTTACCAGCGCTGCTGTGTTGGACTCGACTGCCCCCCCGTCAATGTCATGCTGATGCAGGCGGAGTATGTCTTGCAGTTCGCGGTGTTGCGCAAGGCGGTACCGTCTGGAGAATTCTTGAGGGTCAAGGAGCACCACCTGTGCTCTGCCAAGTCCTGGGTGGTAGCGAAGTTCGATCATCTGGCTCGCCCATGCATGTTGGCGCAGTAGGGCCCCAGCCATCCGAACGTCCTGCCTCGATATCGCTCGACCAACCTGTCTCCAGATCATAGCCGTCGGTGAGCGCAAGCCAGGCTCCCCACGAAGAATGGCATCACGCGTGGCGGCCGCTGCAGTCTGCAGGATCTTCGTGCGGTAGTGTACTCGGTCAGGAGGAGAGAGACCATCCAGGGGGACCTCGCACTCGTACTTCCTGATCATCTCGCGAATCAGGGGATTCTCAGAGACGAAGGAGGGGGCAGGGTTGATGACGCCCGTGGTCGGTCTCTTTCTCGGGGGGCGAGAGGTCCATGCTACAGAGTACATCGCGTGGTCCGAGAGCCCGTCGAGGTGCAACTCGTGAGGCTCCCCATGCACCTGCCCATGTTGATAAATCTGCGTGAGCAACCAGCGTGGGGGGCCAACCCATATCTTGTCAATCGTGGTAGCAATCTGCCTGCCAGGATGCCAGTGCGTCGGTTTGTGAGGTATCATCTCCGTCGCAGCACTCAGCGCATGCGCCCATGCGCGCCCGCGGGGGTGAGAGGCAGCCCTGCGTCCGCCACCAGGGACCAGGGGGCCCTCCACCTCTGCATTCTCGCCGTAGTTGAAGTCGCCCACAACCGCAACACAGCACCTCCTTGGATTCATCTCCATGTCGCTCAGATCAGCCTGGATCGCGCCAGCGACCCGTCGCACTTGCTCGCGCGAGAGGGCGTGGTCATGGATGTTCCAGTGCTTCAGCGTGTAGCCAGAGTGGGGCCCGTCCGTGATCGTGGCCGTGACACGAATCACTCGCGCCTTGATGCAGAACGTCTTGCGCAGGTCCATGCCCGCGCGCACCTTGTAGGGGAAGGTGGTGGCGACGCTGCCGAGAGAACCATCAACATTGTCACCGAAGGAGTAGAACATCTGGTAGTCCGTCTCCAAGCGATCTATCAGCATACGCAGGCGCACGGCCGACCCGTGGACCTCCTGCATACCAACGATAGCCCCAGCTCGGAGTGCGTTCCCAAGATAGTCACTCTTGCGTGCCGCCACGCTCGCCTTGTAATAGCAGAATGCTCTGGTATTCCAGGTGGCGAAGGTGAGCCCCTTGCTCTGCGGGGCGGCGAAGAGCTTGACAAACGTGCTAAAGACACCAGTCATCACCACCAGGCACGGGGCCGCCTCCACCGTCGCTTCGAGGTCCTCACGCCGCAGCCCGATAGCTGAGAGCGCGGATGGCGACCAGGACACAGCCGGGGTGGAGTTGGGGCCGTCGCTGGTGAGTCGGAGGAAGGCCTTCCATTGGGCCGAGAGGGAGAACTTCTGCTTGTCCACGAAGATGCGGTGCCTGTCGCCGATGACGCGCCCCAGCGCGACGG